TATATATATAGTACTTCTGTAAATAGTTGATTTAATCATCAAATCCCCTCTTTCATTTGTTGGAGTATAAATTGTAAAGCATGAACTTTCTGGTGTTTTGGTGTGATTCAAAGTTGGATCAGAATGTTTAATTTGATCATAAATTCATGATTTCTTCCTGCTGTCCTGAGCAAACAGTCTTTTTTCCTACTTTTTTTTTCACATCAACTCATTTATTTCTTGCTGCGCCACTGACAAAACTAATTAATAGTAATGTGGCTCATCCCTTGTCAAAATGGCGGTGTGTGCTTGCTGACCAGCTGCAACCTGTCACATCTCTTTGTATCAGTTATGTGTCATAAAAAAAGAAGAAATAAATAAAGATCCTGCAGTACCGGGGTTTAATGGCCTAAGGCTCTGTGTGAAATCACAACAGGGAAGAACCTCACTCTTCACACCATCAACCAGGAAGTACCGGAAATCATTTTCACCTTGTATTCACCTCTCGCTGGGCTCATAATTGCAGTAGATAGGTGCGCTCAGGGTCTAGAGTCCATTACTATACACCCATGGACAATGATTAATGGTCCATTGAGAACTAACAGCAAGTGGATGCTCTCAAGCAGCGTTCATGGGCTCATCGCTGTCACCAAACATCTGATAATTTTTGCAAGACCTTGTCTTACTCTTCAAAAACTTGACAAAAAGTATGTGTGTGTGTGTGCACAGTGACGTGTCTTTGAATGTAACATTTTTGCACTCCGATACCATTTTGATTAGTCRTTGTGAATTTTAACATTCTGTAGTTACCAAATCTGATGAACTCTTCTTCTAGTTTTACAATAAACTCCAGACATATTCAGTGATTGCTCAAYAGTCAGTCTTTGATGCGACCCTGAAAAAATTTGTTAGACATTTTTGTGAAGTATTGAGATGGAAAGTTCACCATGGTGTCTGGCTTCTCTATCGGCTGATTTTTGCTTTGGTTTTATGTCTGTGCTTTTGTGTTGTTGTTGTTGTGAATCCACTTTTGCTTTCCCCTCAAACCAGGGTTCTGTTTCTGATTGCCACTCAACTGTTGCTCAATTGTCATTGTTTGGTTTCCTTTGCTCTCTGCCAGATCATTGTGTGGGTTTGTCTCAACCCCTGTTTTGATCTTGAGCTATTATCTCTAGACCTATGTGGACTGAACTGGGCTGCTGCTCCATAGCAATTTAAGTTCTGCTTCATTTGTGAGTAATTGAAAACTTTCAGCACTCAATCAGACTGCATTCTGTGGTTTCTGCACCTGGATCATTTGTCATTGCAAAAGCCTGTCATTATCATGCAACACATGACATTTACTTATATATATATAT